GAATTGTGGATTGGCAGAATTTCGTACGGGACTATAAGGTCTCCGACGGGAATTTAACAAGTAGGGATCGTCTGACTCAATAACGTTTAAATTAAGACGAAATAGGTCTTTTTTAAAAGGAAAGATCCTATCTAATTTTCTCCATAAGTCGATAAGTTCGAACCGTTTATCAGAGCCAAACACCAATTCATTACCCTCTCCGAGATCTCCGAGCGTCCTATACGACTTATATCTCGGCACATCGTTTCGGCGCCTTTACATTGTGTTGAATATCACAGCATATGCAATAAATTTGGTCACGCCACGATAGATGCCTTAATCGAAGACGGTATACTGGAATATAGAATTGTGGATGAAATTGGTGTCGACCAGAACAAAGTTGAACCTCCGTTCGTGATACCAAGTAGCATGATGATACTTCACATTATGAAATTAATGATTTAAGAGAAGCAGAGAGCTAGACCGCACAATGTAAATAAGAATATAATCTATTTCTTTATCATGAACGATTTATATATTTTGAACCCAATTTCTGTTCAAAGAAAACGTACTTTAAAGTAACGCGACAAAAAATTTATTTGGTTTCTCTGTATATCCTGTGGGAAAACAATTTATAGTGGATTGATTTTTTAAAAAATCTTGTATATGTAATGTTTTCTATACAATAATACAGTAGTATAATAGATTATAATAACAAATCAATGATATTTTAAATACAGCTATATATATTATCTCGGTTACTTTTTCTAGATGGCATAAATTTATTAAGCTCGATCTCAACATCTCGTCATTTCCGGTGTAACGATTGTCACATTTCCTTCATCTTACTTTAAAACTCCACCAGTTCTAATACAACAGATATTTGTCAACACTGGACGGTTACCCAAAAAATCTGTACAGGCAAAATAATGGTAACAAATCGTGTGCTCGCTCAATACTGTAAATGGCTGTTGACTGAATCATAATTTCTACATGATAATGCCCAATGAATATATATCTGATGAATTTGTGGAGACGGTCTGATAAAAGGGAATGTGTGATTTGGTGTCAAGGTATTCCTAGAGAGAATGCCGTTTCGCATATTACAAAACCAATGTGAACTTGATTGTAGATGCATAATAACGGGTACGATATGTGATTCATTGTCAAAAACACTACTTTTAACTAATGATTGCAATTTACAATCATTAGTTTAACCAAAAAATCTTGAATAATGAAATAAGCAAGCGTGCAGATAAAATAGTAGACTTAACCTTTACTGAAAAAATTTGATTTTGAAAATGAATTTTAGAGCAATTATGGCTACCCCCTCCAGTTTCACTTGTTAAGTTTTCAGTACAAACTGGCGTTCCTTTTTTTCTCATAATGATGAAATAGCTTAAGTTTGACACTAAGATAATTCCCCTATAATCCTATTATTATATACTGTACTTATTTAAAATTATTAAAACTATTAGCTAGTTATAATTGTAAAATACAATGCACGTCAGTTTTGAATACATAATGCTGTATAATACTTTTTATATTTCTTGTTTTCAAACTTATTATAATAATAAATATATGATAATAAAAAACCGAATATCTACTGTATATACTGTATATTAATAAAAATATCAAAAGAAAAAAAACCAATTTCAAAACAATATTGGTAACTCATTACCCCCGTTTCATAAAATTACTTTAATCAATAATATAGTTTTAATCTTAAAAAGAGTTCAAAAATGTATTAATGAATATCAAAAAAATATATGTTGAATAAAAATCAATAATTAATGAAATAATTTTATAAACCAAATATTAAAATTAATATAAAAAATTCCAAAATCTTATTTTAAAATTAATTATTATCATTATTTAAATTAACAAAATATTTATATTTATTATTTTTTTAAGTTTTTTTTAATATATAATTATTTTTTATAATAATATATATATTGTATATCAATATTTTCTAATATTTTGTTTATAACAAAAACAAAATATGAAATTATCTATTATTAATTGCTTTAATTAAATATTAATTTTAAAACTATTGATCTTTAATAATATTTAATTAAGATATATTGCAAAATATAATTATTTATATAAATATTATATTTATTTTATATATTATATTATTTATTTATTTTAATTTATTTAAATCTAAACTTTTTATTATTATTGGATTTTATATTTTTTATATTGATAATTTATTAAATAAATTTACAAAAAATAAAATATATATAATTATAATTTTATTTTTATTTTTAATATTAATTTCTTAATTTTTTAAACAAATATATAATAACTTGATTTTTTATATATAATAAAAATTAAAATTTAAGTAATATATTATTTAATTAAATAAAATAATTAAACAAAATTTTATTATATTTTTAAATTTGTATATCTAATTTAATTTAATTATATATTTTTTCATATTATTATAAAAAAATTTTTTATTAACAATATGATTTCAAATTATAAGCAATTTTAATTATTTAATTATATATTATTTAATAATTTTATTATAATATAATTTTTAAAAAATATTTAAATTCAATTCTATTAAATGTATAAATTTAATAATTTAAAAAAAATAATTAAAAATTATAATTTTTTTATTTTTTAAAAACAACTTTAAAATTAAATATCAATTTATAAAAATTAATAAAAAAATTAATATTTTTTATAAATAAAAAATTATAAAATATTGATTATTTTTATTTTAAAGAATTTAAAAAATTATTATTATTTTTTTCTTTAATCAAATTATTAATAATATATTTATTAATTTATTTATGAAAAACAATAATACAATATATAATATAATATTATATTAAAGATAAACAATTTTTCATAATAAAACACTTATTAAAAGTTATAAATTTATATATAATTCTTGAATTTTTAATATCAAAACTATTGTGTTATCCATATAATCTAACTATTTATTAACTATTTCATTATAAGGGAATAGATTTATTAAGTTATTACTATATAATACTAATTATCTTAGACTTTTCAAATTCTACTCTCTAGATATAATTATAAGAAATAACAAAATTGTTTTTTTTCAAAATTAAATATCAAAACTTTAGTTTCAAGAGATCAAAGCTAGTCTATATTTAGATTGGCATTCCAATATAATTTTATTGTTTTAAAAAATAAAAAAAGAAGAAAAAGTTTATGTTAATAAATAAAAATCTATCTAATTAATTACTAGTCTAATAAAAATCTTCTTTAATCTTGATGAGAAAAGAAATCAATATAAGAGAAAAGAAGAAAAGCTTCAAATTATTTCTAATAAGAGGATATTATAACATCTTGCTCTTTTAGTTGCATCATTGATTTTAATATAGTATAATATAGAATATGTAAAGAATATAAATTTTGTTTATATTTTTTTTATATGTTAATCAATCAATTCAAGATTTCAACCAATTACTAATCAAAAAATCTGGTAAAACAAAAAATTCAAAGTTATACTAAGATAAGTAAAATTTTTTAGAAAAAATCAAAAAAATTTTGATATACTTGAAAGTTCTATCACAGGTATATAATTGGTAAAAAAGAATATATATTTGGAAAAGTAGTTATTACTAAATTATCTACTTGCTTTGATCAAAGATTCTATATTTATAGTAGACTTAAGGTTTTTATAGTATTTGAGAATTATATTTATTAGTAATAACTTTTCTAGAGTTTCAATTCTAAGAAAAATATAATAAAAAATGTTTTTTTGATAAGTTTTTTCTTTTTAATAGAGTATTCTTACCATTAACAAAATATATAGAATTTTATTTATTTTGTTATTGAGATATATAAAGTTTATAAGAAAAAAAATGAACAAATAAAGAAAGTATTAGCCTTTAGGAAGTAAAATATTAAGAAAAATATATAGACTTTATTATCAAAAATAAAAAATATTTTTGAAAACATTTGTTTTTTGAGTTGGCAAAGGATTAGTGAAAAGAGTTTTTATTTAAGAATTTAAAAATTATAAAAAAATATAATATTAATTATTTATAAATATTTATTATAATTAAGAATGTGTTCCGAAACTATTTAGTATATAAATTTTGCAAATTAATTATGTTCTTTTGAAAGAGACATAATTATTTACTCTTTATTTTAATAGGAACATAATTCAAAAGATATTTGAATTGGATAATCTAAACTGCAAAAAATTTTTATAAATAATTTTTTTTTATTTTTATATTAAAAAAAAAACTTTTTTAATAATAAGAAACATTTAAGTTATGTCCTTGCCTTTAATTTAGGGACCCATCTTTAATTATAACATTGAATTTTTAATTTATTTTCAAAAAGTTAATAAGAAAAAATTAAAATATATTGAAATTCAAACAAATCATTGTTTAAATATAATATTTTGATTAATAATTAATAAATTATTAAAAAAATTTTTATATAAACGTTTTTTTTTTTTGATAATCAACTCAAATTCCAAATTTAAATTCAATTGAGACTATATACAGTAAGTACTATTAAATAGATACAGTATATAAAAGTATGAAAATCTTTTTCAACAAATATTAAAGATATACTGAATATATAATTTTGTAACTTCTATACCAAGTTACAATATTTTTAATTGATATAAATATTAAATATAAGATTTTATTTACATTAATATACTGTAACTTATTATATACAAGAAAAATGGATGTCGATGTTAAGTCCGGAGTTTATAAGATTGCTATTTCAGATTGTATATCATTGACTCAATTCTTGAGCGGGGGAGCGCAGACATTTTTATCATATTGCGTAGAAGTATGTAGTCCTATGCTTACACTCTGAACTAAATATTATATGGACTATACGGAATGTAAAGTATATTATAGAAATACAATAAATAAATGCACATTAGCCATTATACCTTTATGCGTATTCAAGTATTTTTTAAGCTTTGTATATCATTTCTTGCCTATATAATGTAGATAAGAGATTCTATTTCGCTTTCTGTGATAAAGGATTTTCCGATCCGAGTTATATGAATAAGAGGTATCTCTTGTCCACAAAATCATTCTAATTAACAAATGAATGGTGCCACTCCAACTTGGTACCCGTGTCTTCTAACGAGCCTTCTAAGAATCATTGAAAATATTTGCAAGTTATTAAAGCATGACGATCTTTTAATTGGTTTGTTTTTTTACATTATCATTTTATTAATTATAAAAATGTAAGGATTTATACATGAAGAAAGTGACAGCATTTCTTATATGACATGCTAAGTCAATAAGTTTAATGCTAGCTTACCTACATGCACCATCAAAATAGTATAGGAAAATAAATAATAAAATCCACTCATATCAAAGATGATGTCAAGCAGCTAAGATTAACCTACTCAGAGTTATTAGTGATAAATTGATTTAGATATTGAATTCTTGAAACATAATGAAGAATTAAGTTTTTTATGTATGAATGAGTTCGTCTGTGACGAGGGATGGGTAAAATTTTACTTTAATATTTCGTTGATTTTTAAATGTATTGGTTAGAACATGTTTTAACTTGCTGCAAACAGCATTACAGTATTTTTCATATCCCTTAATCTGTAGGTCAATTTTTTGCAAATTTGACATTTATTTTTGTGATGCATTTTTGAGAAGAATATTATTATGTTATTTGCACTTTAACCATTAAGAAAAAAGATTAATCTTGTTTTGGAGATTTAAATGAACTAAAATACATAATAAATGAATGCACAATTAAAGAGTAACATGTATCAGAAAATATAAAGTGATTTTGTTAATAAAAAAATTGTAGGCAAATTTGCCTACAATACAGTTTAAGGGATAATATATATGCGCTCTTCTTTATTTAGCGTTGGAGATAAATATTTGCTACTAAATACATACAATATGTCAAATGATTTAAAGCATATACTGCATAATACACGTAAAACTCTACCTTAGAAATGCCTTTGTATGAATAGAACAGATGTTGGTGGTTAGTAATTTTACATGTACATTGACATTGCTTAGCATCCTGTCAATCTATTATAAACCATTTCAATTATTGAATTTACAATTAACAGTCAAATTCCAGCTTTGTTATTTTTTAAAAAAGTTTTTTTCTTTTTCTATAAACAATTGTTTTTTTTACCGTACCTTTAAAAATTCCATGAAACTTTTTCGCGCAATAATAAATCTTTAAATAACAAAATATACACCAATACATACCAACCTGATAATAATACATATTACATATTAAATTTTAAAATAAATAATAAATAAACGAAAACAGTGTCTATAATACATAGACAACCGCTCAAACTAGGCCGAAGAATATTTTTGATGATTTATTATTTCGTTCACTCTTGTCGGTGTCAACGGTGTCCAAATATTATTCCCGTTGCCATTTTGTTTAGGCATCGCTTGTGTGTTCAATCCATTCAAAAGAATATATATATATGCGTGAATGCGTGCATTTTAGTTTCAATGGTGAAATAAATGATGTAATAATTTCAACAATAATTGATATTACTTACACGTTTGCCTCAGATTCGACGGGGAGTCATTAGAAGAAACGTCAATCAATGTATTACTATCATTTAATGCCTCGGTCTCTTGAGGGGATGTATTTTTAATCGACTTGGGTTTTGGTTTAATCGGAGGTGGTTTCTTCGAATCTGAAGTTAATAATGAAATTCATTAATAATATAATTTCCAATATTAAAAATTTTGCAAATCATACAAATTAATAATTTGTAATTAGCTAAAATTAAACAATGAAATACCTTGTTTCCTGATTAATTTTACTTCAGTTGGAAAACCGTTGTTTGTGGAAAATTTATTGAACATTGGGGCCCTTGCCAAAAATACGTCATCATCTTCAACAAACATATTTTTTCTTGGATTGTCATATAACCCGCTATTATGTTTGGACACGACTTTTTTCGCATAATGTGACGGCCAATCGTCATCAAAAGAATTTCTCCTTGGGATGCTGTTAGACTTCTCATACCTTTTAGGTATTGCAGGTTTAGCGGTCTGTGAAGGAACATTGCTATCAAATGATGTATTGTCCCTTCTTAGAGTGACAGCTTTTTCTGATTTCGGTGTTACTAATGGTTTACGTGGTGGCAATGATGGTGGTGATTTTTTCTGAGACAGTTTTGAGGGTTTTTCGGGTATTGGCGGTTTCTCCTTATGTTTTAATTTATCACTCGGAGAATGCAACCCTCGATTCTTAATATCTCTGTCTGAAACCATCGACGATTCGGGTGCTACAGCAAAGTTTGACTTTCAGTAAAATTGATCGGGCGGAAAGGTAAAAAGTATATTGCAAAAACATACCCAAGTCATTTGTTAACCTTCGAGCCCGTTCAGTGTTCTGAGGAAGCACAGTCTCTAGATAAATGAAACGATCATCAAATGGACGAGCAAGAGACAACTCTCAAACACCTAATGTTAAATTTACTAACGTTTGTTACCCTTATCTTCGTCGAACAGGTCGATAAGAATACCAACAGCCGGACCAACATTTTTATCAATCTTTTCTGCGACACTTCTTTTACCATTAGTTCCAGTTAAATCCTTATGATTGATATCTTCTGTAATACGATCAATTATCACCGGATCATTAACCCTCTTAACGTTTTTTGCGAGTTTACTCCAGTTTTTACTGGAATCATTAGAATTCTCATGATCCGTTCCCTTCTTTATATTGTGTGTGCTGTCATCATACTTCGACACAGCCTTTAACTTTTCCAAATAGAGTTCTCGACTAATTTTTTCTCTTTCCTCTTCGTCATATTTAATCACCTCAATGTCAAATAGTGCCATAACTATAAAAAAATTTTGCTAAACAGTTAACACAGTAGATAACGCAAAGTCCCTCAAAAGCGACATGCTAATACGTCTATACCTGGTCTATGGTCGGATATTCTTATTTCTGCTCTGGTATATCCGATCTGCCGAATCTACGTAAAGTGTTAGGTAAAACTTGGTGATCCAATATTAAAGCAATCACCTCTATTTATTAATCATTTGCCACTTACCCCTCTATTATCACAGTACAAAATTCGATCTACATATGAAAGCGTTTCTCTCAATACAGTGGTAATAAACAAATCGTAGCATGGACGCACATCAAAACACTTACCCGTCCACGCAGGTATTCGCTGCTTTTCACTAAACATAGGTTAATCGAAAATAATAATAATAATAATAATAATAATTCTTAGCATTTAGCAATGCATGCTGAAGGCTTTCAAGTTCGAGTTTAAAATACCTTGTGTCATATTCATCCGAATTACTGTCATACTTATAAGTAGGGGGAAATGTGATGGGACCTTCAATGTAATCGGTGAATACACGTCCCATTGTGTTTTCTCTAATCAGCTAAAAATTGACGGACGAACTTAATTTTCATTTGAAAAAGAACTCAATGCGATCATGGACAAACTTATACCTGTTCTTCACTCAACAATTTTGTAAAATCGGTTGCGACAAGTCTTCGAACCTAACATTCGAGATGTGTTAACATATTCCTGTTCCTTGCAAGTGAATAACATTCCGGAAAAAGTGGAATTACCTTATCGTTATCCAAAGATATTCGATAATTAAAGTCTCCCAACCAAATGACGTAACTGAATATGCATTCGGCATTAGTTAATAGGAAATGATTTAAAAATCATATGAATCGATGGATCAACTCACTTGTGATGATTGAGCTTGCGACCATTTCTAAAAACCAAGCCTTCATTGATCGTCATATAATCTCTATTTCTATCCTCACAATTAGAATGGCCTGAAAAATCACGTTACAGATTAGCGTTAATTGAATTTAAGTCAAAATAATGCGCAGAATTATAATTCCAATACTAACCGGCAGCAAAATGTGCGGTCACAAAACACATGCTAGTGTCATTATATTCGAGACGGATAGCGACTGCACCCTTGTTACCTGCCATTCCACCCAAACCTGTCTGAATATCCAATTTGATTAATACATATATTACATTCTAAACATCGCGTCATAGAAAAGTCTACCTTTTTCATAATGTATTCAACGTTACGTATATTTGATACAATGTCAGCCCTCGCGTAGATTACCAATGCCGTTCCAACCAACTGACCGGACCTTATTATTACATATTCGAAATCTTGATCCAATTTTTGGTTAAGCGTCCTACTTATTTCTCGTTCCCAAATGCGCCTTGAAAAATTTGATCAATTATAAGAACATGGCAATCATAATATATAAAACCAATCCCGATGGTCACAACTTCAATCTTACAATTTCTCCGGGTCAGCCGATACTATCTAATGTCACTCAAATTTAAACGTGAAAACATATTAGAATACAGTGTATTTATTTCATCAATAAAGTACGCTCAAACGATGTCTTTATTTACTATACCTGTTGAGGCATCAACTCAACAATTTCTTGAAAACCAATTACGAATAGATGTGGTCTAGGCGCATCTAAAAATTAAGTGCATATGTTTTAGTGTTTCATTTCTAAAGAAATAATAAAGCAATTAAATTACATACAATCGCTAAAAGCAAAAAGCCATGGCACAAGCGATTCTCCAGAAGGTAGAGACCCGTTTAAATTGTAAGTACCGACGAAAACGTTTATCGTTGATTTTTCCGAAAAGTCCTTCAGTCTGTTTTACAAAATCAAGTTTGACAAAAATCGACGACCAATCCATCAATGAAAACCCGCAGACCATCGATTTAAATGTAAATTGTAAAGTACCTATTCTGCATGTCTAGACGAACCATTTCGTTCACCGGATCGTGAATTTCGATTGCCTTGGAGTTCAAAAGCTTTCCCTTTATTAAAAATGTATACACGTTAATGACCGACCTTAAGAAGCTATTGTTGAGGTCGCAATTCACTTACAAGCAATATATCAATGACTTCTTGCTTTGATTTATCTTGAAAATTGTTAATGTAAAATCTATTCATCGTTTTGGTAGCATCATTCAAAACTCCTTTAACACAACACAAATATGTAGCAAACACAAATAAGATGGCGCCGATATGGCGTACATATGACGACACAATTGAAAGTCGAAATCGCACCTGCCCATGTATACTTTCCACTGCGAGTGTACTCTGATTTCAGAGCACCTGTACCAGTATATATCTTTGATAAACTATCACCATTTTCTGCCCATAAATAAGAATGTCGAGAGTATAGAGTCGCAACTTCGGGAAAATCGATAGGTTGTATTTGTCCTAGATAAATTTCCAAAGAAGCTTTGGATATAACCGTCTGGACAATGTTCGTTCTAACCCGGAAGAAAAGGGATAATCACTAAGGGCGAGTCAAAAAAGGAATCATGGCAACCAGGTTTACTAGTCGACATACCTATCCAGACTTTTTTACATGAATAAATTAAGCTTTGCTTAGTTTTCCGGAATTCGAGGAAAAAAGCATGATAAAATGACTTGGGGGACACATACCAATCCATACAGTTCGTTCTAAATACACCTTTTTGATAAAAGATAGGTGTATTCGATTCTACATCTATAACAAAGAACGCGAAAGATTCTAATTTTCCCTCGATCTCATTACGCAACAGATTCACATTTTCACAATTGTTTTTACAGACTGTATGAAAATCAAATGACGTCATTTGCAACCTATTCTCTAATCCATTGCCATTCAGATCCTCTATCCGTTTTCTGTACTCCCCGCTCAGAACAGCTTCTCCTTCCT